TCTAGCTCGAAAGATAGAGAGCTGCTAATCATTCCATGTCCTCTCCGTTGCTTTGTATCAAAAGTATGCTGGATGCATACCTGAATCCAGTAAGAGGGCAAAAGTACTCAGATGCCTCCTTTGTGGAGAAAGGGTATTGCCAAAATTCTCATTTTTCTGCCAACCCCACCCTCTCCTGCAAGCAGTTACACTAAATATTATTCCAAACATACTGTGCTGTTCCTCAAAACTATTAACAGTGTGCAGCCTGTGGGTCTCATAAATGATATCCAACTTCCTTTTCTCTCTCCCCTTCCAAACCATTCAGCAAGAAGAACTGTTCCAGGGAACTTCGAAGCTTGCTCCTGACTCAGCCTAGTAATGCCTAATGCAGTTATTACCTTTATTGTGCTATCCTGTAAGATGTTTCTGAGGTATTAGCATGGTTTCCTGTAAGGGTTATGCATGTGCTTGTTTGTTTTATCAACCAAATGACAACATTAAGAAGAACTCAGAGATACTAAAGGGCTACATAGTCCAGGTCTAGGTACGTTCTAGGGGTTCAGGATCTTCTGAATTTGGTCATTTCTTTGGTTGCTTAAGATGTGTTAGGGAGGATTAAGAATTTAGACAGTTCAGTGGTTTAGGTATCCAGCTGCAAAACTAGATGCTGGGAGTTTGATTCTCCACTGTACCTCCTTGATTAAGACTTGAGGATCCATAGAGTTCCTTCCAGCTCTGCAGTTCTAGGATTATTGCTATACAGTGGTACCTTGACTTAAAAACTTAATCCGTATTGGGACTGCGTTCTTAAGTCAAAACGTTCTTAAGTCGAAGCACCATTGTCCATAGGAAACCATTGAAAACTATTTAATCCGTATTTGCTGTTTCTCGTTCCTAAGTCGAGGCGCTGTTCTTAAATCGAAGCATTAGTTCCCATAGGAACTAATGCAAAGCCAGTTAATCCTATCTACCACCAGGGGGTGATTTTTTTTCAATTTTTCTTCTTTTGACCTAAGTAGGGAGGATTAAGAACTTAGACAGTTCAGTGGTTTAGGTATCCGGCTGCAAAACTAGAGGTTGGGAGTTTGATTCTCCACTGTGCCTCCTTGATTAAGACTTGAGGATCCATAGAGTTCCTTCCAGCTCTGCAGTTCTAGGATTATTGCTATACAGTGGTACCTTGACTTAAAAACTTAATCCGTATTGGGACTGCGTTCTTAAGTCAAAACGTTCTTAAGTCGAAGCACCATTGTCCATAGGAAACCATTGAAAACTATTTAATCCGTATTTGCTGTTTCTCGTTCCTAAGTCGAGGCGCTGTTCTTAAATCGAAGCATTAGTTCCCATAGGAACTAATGCAAAGCCAGTTAATCCTATCTACCACCAGGGGGTGATTTTTTTTCAATTTTTCTTCTTTTGACCTAAGGTGAACTTGGGTCAAAAAAAGGGCAGGAAAGGTTTATTCTTTCTCTTTTTTTGGTTCTTAAGTCAAGGCTACGTTCTCAAGTCGAAGGAACTTTTTGCGAACGGAGCCATTCCTAACTCGAATCGTTCTTATGTAGGGACGTTCTAAAGTCGAGGTATCACTGTACAAGGGGGATGGCATGCCGAAATAGGGCCTTCTTGGCTGTTGCCACCCCCCAACTTTGGAATGCCCTCTCTCAACCCACCTGGCTCCAACACTTCTGGCTTTTTGGTGCCAGGCAATGACCTTTCTGTTTAGCTAGGATTTTAATTAAATAGTATCCTTTAGCTGGCTAAATGAGCAGCAGGATTAATTAATATTAATGATTGTTTTTAATATAGGGTATTATTATAATATTATTGACTATTTGAAATTGTTTTAATGTTTTTAAAGTTTTAATATTGTTGTACTCTCCTCAGAGACCATTGGTAATGGCACGGCTAAAAAATCTTCTAAGTATAATAAAATAAATCAAAATCGTTTGACAACCGGCACACAGGAAGAATGCATCGTATGAATATTCCTGGCCAAAGAGACATCCTCCTTTAAAAGGGGAGGCCACTTGGGAGTATGAAATGATAAGTAAGAGGGGAAGCTAGAAGGAACATGCAATGATATTTGGGCAATGGTACGTAAAGATAAATATGTGCTTATAAATATCAGTAAAGGGACATGGTGGCACTGTGGGCTTGCCAGATAATGACCTTTCTGTTAAGCCACGATTTTAATTAAATAGTATCCGTTAGCTGGCTAAATGAGCAGCAGGATTTATTAATATTAATTGACCTTTCTGTTTAGCTAGGATTTTAATTAAATAGTATCCTTTAGCTGGCTAAATGAGCAGCAGGATTTATTAATATTAATGATTGTTTTTAATATAGGGTATTATTATAATATTATTGCCTATTTTTAATAGTTTTAATGTTTTTAAAGTTTTAATATTGATAATGGCACGGCTAAAAAATCTTGTAAATAAAATAAAATAAATAAATAAATCAAAATCGTTTGACAACTGGCACATAGGAAGAATGCATTCTATGAATACTCCTGGCCAAAGAGACATCTTCCTTTCAAAGGGGAGGCCACTCGGGAGTATGAAATGATAAGTAAGAGGGGAAGCTAGAAGGAACATGCAATGATATTTGGGTAATGGTACGTAAATATAAAAGCATGACAGGTGGAAACAAACAGAACATAGAAAGAATCAGAAGATTATCAATTTTAATTTGGCCCACACATCAGTTTACAAAGATTTTGTTTCTTTCCTTTTGAAAGAAACAGCGCTTTCAGCTTTGGGTAACTCAGTGAGAAACATGCTTAATAGATTTTAACTCCTACCCTATTCCATATACTGTACCTACACAGTGTTGTTAACACAGAAAAACTAATAGAAGCAGTCAATAGTGTAAACTAGATAAGAGTATGGAAAAATCTATGCACCAAGCAGATTTCTTTTTAATTTTCACTTCCTACTCTAATATTAGTTCCACTTGATACAAAACATGACAACATAAAGGTCGAAAGCACATACATTTCTCATCATATGTCATCATTAAGCCACTCTTTATCCATACGTGGATAACCACAGTAAGCTTTTTACAGTAAAAGGTTCAGCAGCACAAAATTTTCATCTCGAAAAGAGGCATAGAGGAAACACTGAGATATGAAGCTTCCTTGATGTAACAAATACTGAAGAAAGGCTTAATGAAAAATGTTCTATCTGAAAACTCTTTAAAAACAGTAGCAGCTTCTTAAGCAACACTGATGAATACAGAACCAAGTTTCCTGTGGTTTGCGATGGTCTACTGATCAATGGTTCCCAGAATGGCTTATAATTATCAGTTTAAAAAAAAGACAGTTCCTACCCTCAGGTTTACAATCTAAAAGACCAGACACAGTAGAATTAGTATGGGAGGGAGGAGGAAAAACAAGCAAATTTTGTCATGGTTTCTGTGGGAGAAAGTAAGAGGCACCATATTCATCATCCTTACTGCTCTGTTACCTAAGGTAACTAAACTCATTCAGGCTGCTAGCAAGATCAGCTCTCTGTGTAGTGTAAAGTTTGTGGTTCAGTATGGGTTTCCTGTTCCTAGGATATGCTCCAGGTATAAGGGTACCTTTGATAAAGCGATCTCAGGAGGGTCCCGTTCTTAATTCGGTCCCTGATGTTTGGTCCCTGGTTGGAGGCAACCATGATATCAGCAGCACAGGATGATAGAGACTAACTGCCATTTCAATGTCCCCCAAAGACCTCCATGCCATGCCATTTCAGAGGCATTGTAGAAAAATCAATATAGCAGCTGTGTGAAATGTATAATCACTGGACAAGGCAGGCTGGACCCTCCTGGTGGCTGCTAATATCATCTTTGTTTGTTTCAAATCTCACATACTTGAGAAATGGCCTCAGACAAGCCAATCACCCATCATTCTGTGCCCTCCAAGAGTTATTTGGGCATATCTGTTGTTGTAAAGTTCCTTTCCTTGATCAAGTGGTGATTCAAACCCTATTTTCCAAAGTCCTAGTCTGTCACTCTGTCCTCTACCCCAGAGGTCCCCAACCTCTGGTCCGCAGCCCAGTGCCTGCCCGTGGCCTGAGCTGGACCGGGCTGCTGAGACAGACCTCCCGCCCCACCCCCTGCACAGCCCGCTTGCGCCTGAGTGCATGCTCCAGCATGCCTGTGCAAGCATTGTGCCACTGTTGCACATGCGCACCTGTGCAAGAAAGAGAGTGCTTGTTCATGCATGCGCGTGAGCGCAGGGGGTGCCCCGCCTTCCCCAGCTGGTCCGTGGACCGAAAAAGGTTGGGGACCGCTGCTCTACACCAAACTGGGTATCTCTATTTTGGTCTACAACTCCAAAAATCCCTCAGTTGGAATGCAGAATGACCATCTATTTAGGGGGCGTGTGTTTGTGTGTGGGGGCCTTCACATGCATGCACACACATGCTTGCGCACTCAGTGCTAGCCTGCAAGCACTTTTTATTTCATTTTTAAAAATATATATTTTATTTTATTATTCTCAGAAAGAACTCACCTGCAAAGGAAATTCTACCAGGGTGGAAAGGAAGTCAAGAGCAGATGTGGAGCACTCAGCCAAACACCACCCTTACCACACCAAGTTACACACATTAACCCAAGCTAGCAATTGCCTTTCAGTGCACTTAAGTGGCAACAATCAATCTCTTTATTAAACCATAAAGCAACTTCACTTAGTAGATCCTAAAGCTACTGTTTCTTAGAAATAAACCCAGCGGTTGCCACCAAGAGAAGCAATTTGTGAAGGGCCAGGATGGTGGCTGGTTACAATGTGCAAGAAGGGCAACCAGCCAACTTCTGTTTGACTTTCGTACAACTTATTAATTAGCACATGACACAGTTCAGAAACCCCATGCCGATCTCGGCTCTGCCATTCAGACTGTCCATTTTCAGAATGACCCAGTTTCCTTCCCAGGAGCTCGGGAGGAAAAAAAAAAAACCAAGAAAATAACAGTCCAGTTCTGCTTTTTGCACAAACTGGTTAGTCTAATTATAGCACAGCGACAATGTTCACTTACCTGTGAAGCAGCAGAGGCCACTGTTGCTCACAAAGCATTGCATCTGCATTCTCTCTCCCTCTCGCTCTCCCTCTCTAACAGTACTGCAGCTCTCTACGTTTCCATGACCTCAGCACTTCCGCTTCTTGAGATGTGCTGAGAACATCCCACAAGCTATGAAGCGCAACCAGAAGTGTGGAGATGAGAAAACTATCTACCTCCGTAGCCAAGGCAAGTAAAAGAAAGAGACGGAGAAAGAGACAGAGACAGAGGAAGACAGAAGGCAGAGGAAGCCATTTTATGGCAACTCTAGCTACTGTCTGAAAAACTCCATCAAAAAAGGAGATTGCTTTTTTAAAACGTGAAAAGCTAAGGCATTTCTATCTTTTCCTCAGTTAGCAGGAGTCAAATCCACAGTTGTTACTAGCATCTGAGAGAAAAGTACAGCTTATGATCCCCTACACTGTCTGCATCCTGAAATATTCCATCTGTATTTTATTTCTCTTCTTGATATTCCTTTCCATACATACTATGAGGTCAATGGTGTCCTTTGCTTGTTTGCGGCATGGAAAGCATTGTGCCTCAGCCTTAAATTTCCACACAAACTACAGCACTTAAACAGGACAGGATTCCAACATCTTTCCGTCCTACAATAACTGCCCCTTCTTGCTCCAGAGTCTTACATTACAGAACACAGTCCCCTGTTTGTAAGATTGTCAGAAGACAGTATCCCATGAAGGTGTCCTTTTTTTTTGGAAGACCACCCAAGCTGAAGTCTACTTTAGAGATATAAAGCAGGAGAAGAAAGATTAGGGAGCTTGGAGTTGCCCACTGAAGTCTGTACATGGACAGCAGGTATGTAGATAACAGATGTACTATAAATCTATTAGAATCAAAGTTATTTCCCAACACCCCCCCCCAATTTTTTTTTCCATTTCTACATCTAAGATTATATGTGCAGCTTATATACAAATTAGAGCTCTTGCTTACTGGCAGTAGCTAAATATTCATTCTTTTTTTTTTCCAGCTTCACATTGTTTTTTTTTCCCACTCTGGAATTCAGGTACAGAGGATTTCCTCAGGGTAAAAATCTGCAGCTCTATTTTGGGCACATTAGATCTGTTTTCTCCTCTTCTACTGTATGACCGTCATGTTCTTTTGGGATGGTTTTTCTTTGCAATACTTAGTAAGACAACACATCTATTGACGCAGGATTGTATTGTAGGGACTTCAACTAGCCTTGTGGTGCAGTGGGTTAAACTGCAGTATTGCAGTCAAGACTCTGCTCATGACATGTCCTTGATCCCGATAAGCTCAGGTACTTCACTCAAGGTTGACGGGTGCAGAGCAATGTATAGTCTGCATAACAAAATTGTAAATTGTCCAGAGAGTGTATTAAGTGTTATGGTATGATATATAAGCAGCACACTTTGCTTTGCTTTAATATATCTCACTTAAATATTTCCTGATGGTGTGATGTTTCAGTTCTCTGACAGTGAGCTGAACCCAAACACTGATTATTCTACTTAACTTAATAATAGCAGTACATTTTAATAATAAATGGTAAGCCTTTTCACCATTCCCTTCATCTGAGAGCATCCTGGGACTGTGCAGCTTGCCCAAGGCCACACAGGCTGGCTCTACTTACAGGAAGCATATAGGGAATTGAACACCTAACCTCTGGCTCTGCAGCCAGATACCTAGACAACAGAGCTATCCAGTCAGCCTTTGTAGTTCATTATAATGCCATCAACACGAAATACCCTTTTGAAAAGTAAAGGTCCAAATTTTAAAGACACATGTCCACATGTTTAATGTGCCATTAACTATCCAATTATGCAGATGCCAGACCACATTTATGCTTTTGATCTAGAAATACAATCCTGACACAAGACTGTAAAACAGGAGGGTAAAGTTAGAGAATTGTCAAGTAAAGTATCGTATTTTCCCGTGTATATTACATCCCCATGTATAAGATGCCCCCAGTTTTCTAATCCAAAATTAAGAAAAATAAGTGGGGCTTAGCAAGTGTAGGGGGAAAGGGATCAAAGCGCTGCAGGATCGCTTTGATCCCTGCTTTCCCCTCCACTTGTTTTTGTTCTCTCCTCAGCTTACATCCGTGTATAAGATGACCCTCAATTTTTAGTCTAAAGATTTTAGACAAAAGTATAGTCTTACACACGGAAAAATACGGTAGTTAGACACTGATTTGGAGGAATGGGGGAACAGGCAGACAGTTCCAAGGAAATAGCAAAAGCAATACAAGTTGTTTGGTAGCATTCACACTAACTTAGATAAGGCTTATATTCCCCTTTACAGCTTCCCCCAGAGAATCATAGGACCTAAGGAGATTGGCAAGGCATTCTGTTACAGAACCCAAGAGTCTTGTAGTTAGACATGTCTGGGTATTAAGCTGAGGAAAGTTACAACAGCTGAAATCCTGTTGCACAGTTATGCAAACAATTAAAGTGAATATTTGGAAATGAATTGCCATAAGTTCAAAAATCTCCATAAATACTGTTTGCTGCATACTGACTTGTACAAGTCTGTCAGCAACCAATAATGTCTAATGCAGACTTCTTTACACAAATTTGCTTCCAAAAGTTATGCCGTTTGCATAAATACACAACAGGATTTCAGCCAAAAAGTTATCCAGTAAGCTGTGGCAAAATAAAAATTATATGCAGTTACTTTCTTCTGGGGACACTCTGGGATTCTGCATTTTTTTCCAGGTTCACAGAGACTTAATCTCCACCCCAGGTAATCAAATGCCTGACTTCTGGCTCTGCAACTGGGTGCTCTGACTCACTGAGCTATCCAGCCATATAAAAAAGAGCCTATTTAAAAAGTAACAGCCCTGTCACCATCCAGGGCAACCACTCCCTGTGCCTAGGCACTGTGTGCTAGAGACACTGAAAACAGCAAACCTGCTATATCTAAGAAGGTCTGGTTCTGATCTGTATTTGGATGACACGTAGTGCTGATACCTGATGCAAAATGCTTTCAAATTCCATCAAGGAAGGAAGGTCGCACCTGCTGACTTCTTAAACAATATAGGGGAGGAGAACCTGGTAAAATTCCTACCCAGGGACCCCAGAGGCCATAAAGCAACTTTGTGAAAGCTTTTTTATGGTTAAAAAAAAAATTGGTTTCAAAATGTTAAGGATGCTGCATTTGGGCTTCTGGAGAGGTGCACATGATACCCATGCCATACTTTTCCTGCCCCTGTGCAAATAAAAAGATATCAACAAAGCATTTTTTGCTTTGAAACAACATGAAAAGGGGGGGGCATAACGGAGAAACAAGAGTGATAATTCAGCATGCTTAGCCCAAGGTTTCAAATAAAATAAAATAAAGTATCATTTTAATGGAGGGGGACCCAATTGAGGCAGTCCAGTCAGAACTGAGCATGATCAGTAACAGCAAGAAGCCTCAGAATGGTGGGTGTCAGAAAAGAATAAATATATGACGGGAGAGTGAATTGGCTAGCTTGAATCCTTAATGGTTTACACATATCTCAGACGAAGGCATGGTTGGTTGCCTGGAAGGAACTCTAGATAAAGGCACTCCTACCAGGAGCTGATGGTATACTGCAAAATTGTGTTTAAACGCATTTTCTGTTCCTCTCACAGCAAGATTAGATAGATAAGTGATCTATCAGTTTGGAACTGAAAAAGATCACCCGGAAAAATAAGGCTGCAGTTTCTAAATCTTCAGGGAACTCAGTAAGTGAGAACACCACTAACCTCCAGGAGAGGAGAAAGGATGTTACCAGCGTTTTCAGAGTGAGTTTTGCACAATCAAAAAATAGAAATAGAAACAATGCCTGTAGAAGGATCTATTAGCTTGCAGGGGCTTATGAAATGCTAATTCCAACTGAGCCAATAATTATAAGAACTTGTAATTTATCTGTCATCTTAGTTAGAGGCCTTTTCTTTAAACTTTGAGAGGAAAAGCAAAGGAAAAAGGAAAGCAGAATGAATGTAGTTTTGCTCAATCCCCTACCAGTTTATCATTAGTATCCTGGAAAAAGAGATTAGGGGGTGGGGGTAGGGGATGCATGCCATATGGTTAAATAAAACACGATGTTCCCTGAGATATAAGACAAGTTTCAGGAAAGAGAGGCTGGTGGGAAAGACACGTTTTTCCCTTTCCCAGTCTGAAAAAGCTTTTCCAACTCACTCTATGACAATAAAGCATATACGACTATCAGCCTGGAAGCTGGATGGGGAATTAGATACACCACAGACCCAGAGCTCTGCTTTACTTTACTCAGGATTTTGTTTTTTCGAGAACTTGTTAAATTTCTGACACAACAAACAATGACAGCTTCCATTTAAGGGCTAGAACAGGCCCTGAACGTCTTCTCCTAGAGATGGGACAAAGCTCACGACGAAACAGGAACTTGGTTGAAAATCTCTAATTCATTGATTTGGATCGGTTTGGGTTCATCTAAACCCAAACTTCCCCAAACCAATAAATATTTGGACAATCCAATTAACTTCCTGGTTTGTTCCCCCACCAGCCTGCCCCCACCCTCATCCGACTGCTCCTCCCTACCTTTTCCTGCTGTTACCTCTTCCACCTCTGCTGCCATCTTGCAAAGCAGCCAGCTCTCACAGGCCAGCGGCCTCTGTGCATGTCCCCGCCTCTCAGCTGAGAGGCAGAGTTATGAATAGAGGCAGCCTGTCCAGATTAAAAAATACTGATAACATTACGTATTATTGTTGTTGTTGTTGTTGTTGTTGTTGTTGTTGTTGTTGTTGTTGTTGTTGTTGTTGTTGTTGTTGTTAAAAAATATCAGGCACATTCAATCAAAATTATAATAATACTGACAGGTATCATATAACAGATATAAGTTTTAACCAAAAACCTAAGTATCTTTAAAATATTGGTGCTGTATGTATGCTATGCGTAATATTTCTTTTGAATAGTACATACTGTATTTTTCTGTGTATAAGACGCCCCCCTTTTGACCTTGTTGAGCCCAAGTGCTCAAATCAGCAGGCACCATCTGGGTCAGTGCGTCCTCTGGAGGGTGGCCAGGGGACACCTTCCCCCC